CCTGTCACCCCACAGCCGGGACCCCCAGCTCACCTTCCCGGGGGCTTTCCAGCCCCGGGCGAGCCCCTGCCCCACCACACGCCCCGCCGCCCCACCGACAGCGGCTTCGCCGCTCTGCTCTTCCCCGGGCGCCCAGAGACCCTTGGCAGCCCCAGCCCGTTCCCTGCCGCCCCATGCCCGGTGCCCGTTCCCGGTGCCGCCCCCCCCGCCCCGCCGGTACCTCATGGCGGCCCCGCGCGCGCCGCAGCCTCTCCCTCCCGCCGACGGGCAGGGAGGGGTGAGGAGGCCCCGCCCCCGACACGCCCCTCGCCGCCCCTCGGCCAATCCCTCCTGCGATAGGAGGGCGAGGCGGGCGGTGGGCGGGGCTACGCGCTCCTGTCCCCGCCCAGCTCGTACCGACAGCCAATCGGAAGGCGCTGCGGCTGCGGGCCGTGCCGCGGTGGCCGCTGGGAGTTGTAGTCCCATCGCCCTGCCGCCGTTCCCGCACAGCCCCCGGTTCGGCTCCGGGGGCGGGCGGAGAGCCCCGGGCGGGGTCTGTGCCCGCTGCGCTCGCTGCAGGGTCCGCCTGCCCCTGCCTGCTGCCTCACAACGGCTTGCCGGGGTTGGAGCTGCCAGCCTGCGACGAGCGACCCGCTGTCACATCCCCTGCCTTCTCCTCCTCCTCTTCTTCTTCCTCCTCCTCCTCCTCCTCCTCGCTGCTCGAGTCCTCATAAAAGCAGAGGGTGGCCTGCACCGGGAAGTTCTCCAGCAGCTTCTCCCCGACGGCGTACAGGTGGTCAAAGGCCTTGGACTTTGGCCAGAGGAGCCTGTGCGGGGAGAGCCGGGCTGAGCCCCCCGCCTGCCGCCGCCCCCGCGCCCCCCGCGGCACCGCGCCGGGGCTCCTACCTGACCGGGTGCCGAAAGAAAGACAGCGCTTTGTCGGGGCCGCCATCCCTCGCTGCGTCCCGAGTCTGAGCCTGCGGAGACACAGCCGGGTGGTCCCTGCCCGGGGGCTCCTGCTCCCCCCATCCCCCCAGCTGGCACCAGGGGCTGCGCTCTCCCCACACACCCCGCAGACCCGGCAGATAACCCCTGAGTTGGGGCGCTCACACCCCCGCCAAGGAAGCTGGCATCTACCTCCCCCCGCTCCCAGGCAGGCTTTGTGCCAGGGTAATCTCCCCCCCGTGCTCAGAATCTCGTGCCCAGGCATCCCGCTAACCCCCTGAGGAATGCCCGCCCGGGCTGGGAACAGCCGGCCCTTTCAGGCTGCTGGGGGGGCTGTGCTGGCCGTGGCCCCCCGGGGGATCAACCTGGCCCTGCATCGGGGTGATGCACCGGGGGAGGTGGGCACGGTACCACCATCGTGCAACAGTGCCGAGGGCGAGGGACTCTGGGGGGAAGGACTCCGGGGAGAGAGGCTGGTTCTCTGCCTAACAGGGACCCCAACCTGTGGGACACGGGGACAGACACAGTAGGGAAGCGTCGAAATCAACTCACAGGGTCCGTCTGCTCCTGCCGCCTCCCGGGTCCCTCCTGGGCTCGGGGCAGCCACGGTCTCCAGAGAGGAAGGGCCCTGGGGGAGACAGCACGTTCAGCGCGACAGCCGCCCCCCCTACTCCACTTTGCCTTGTCCCCCCACCAACCCCCGAGTGTCCCACCCACCCGATCGGCCCCTGCCCGGGTGCCAGCACCCTCTGTCCCACCCGTGGCCGCTGCGATCAGAGGGGTCCCTAACAGAGCAGCTTTCACCCGAACCCAGCCGGAGCCTTCCCCATCCCACCTTCCACCCAGCCCCTGCCCTCCCCCGGGCAGCGCAGTACCTTCCCCCTTGCTCCAGCCCCAGAGCTGGGCAAGCAGTGGCCACAGGCACCCGGAGCCCGTGGGGAGGCAGGCAAGAGGCAGCAGCTTGCATGGTGGCAGGCGACACTGTCCCTCCTGATGCTGCAGACCCTCGGTGAGGACACATTTATAGCCCTGCCTCGGCGGTGACTCACAAATTCTTTGGGGCAGGGGAGCAAAGGACTCGGGGGTGTGGGGACTGCAGTCTCTGCGGTGTGAAATTTGTCCCAGTTGTGTAAACAGAGGGCTAGGGGGGGGCTGGGGGGCGGAGGGGCTGCGATCTCTGGTGGAAAAGCAAAACACAGAAGGGAAAAGTTAGACACCATTTGTGAGAAAATCCCCAGGGGGGAACAGGGGAGGGCAGAGACAATTAACAAGGATGATTAAGTGTTCTTTGTAGCCATTTACATTAAGGGAGGGGGCTGTGGGGAAGGGATGGAGAGCGTTGGGACAGCATGTTGGGCATGAGATGGGGACGGTGCAGTGGGCATGGGATGGGACTGCATGTTGGGCATGAGATGGGGACGGTGCAATGGGCATGGGATGGGACTGCATGTTGGGCATGCCATGGGGACAATGTGGAGGGCCTGTGATGGGGACAGTAAAACAGGCATGATGAGGACAGTGGGATGGGCTGCACTGGAGGCAGGAACAGAGCAACCAGGAGGCAGGTGGTGGGATAATCAAGGGAGGACAGGGAGGGAAGACAGGTGGCAGGGCAGGACCCCAGGCAGAGGCAGGGCAGTGGTCTTGCTCAGGCACCCAT